GGACCCATCCCAGAGCCCACACCCCGAGCCAGAGCTTTCACCCCCGACCCCCTACCACACACAGCCAAACCCCTGCCCCAGCCCGGTGAAAATGAATGAGGGTGGGGAAGAGCGAACGATGGAGGGAGGGGGGATGGAGCAAGTGGGGGGAGGGGCCTTGGAGAAGGGGCAGGGTAGGGGTGGGAAAGGGGCATTCGGTTTTGTGCGGTTACAAAGTTGGGAACCCTACCTGGGGTACAAGACACCCCTGTGCACCAGGCAGAATATGCTGCACCTCCTGAAATGTTGTGGTAGGTGACACACTCCCACTGTGTGTCCTACAGCCCACTGGGTTTGTTGGCTCTGCACCGCATGTATTGCTCACCTAGGCCCTAACTCAGCAAGGTACTTAAGCATGTGCCTAACTTTAAGGACATTGATTTATGTGCTTAAGTAACTTGTTAAATAATGGCCCTAATTTGTGCATTACCACAAGTACCTACGCAATGCACAGGTGACTGACCAGTGTGTGCAGGCACTGGGATTGTGCACACACAATCACAATAACTGCACAGGCATATCGCCTGTGCAAATGCGCTCATGTGCAGAGCAGTTTGGGGGCTGGGGGAACAACCAGGTGAACACACTGCTATTTGGATCCACTGGCTATAGATCTCTGCAGACATCTGGTACAGTTGTGGAGGCTAGTACAGCATCAGGGCTCCACAGCCTGGCGGGGAGGATTCCTACCAGCCCATGTAGAACCCCCACCAGTGCCAAGCCCAGGAGGGAGTGGATTCATCCACAATCAAATGTTAACGGTTGCTACAATTAACAGTGCAGTTTAAAATTCCTTTGCCTCATCGATTGCTTCAGAGTAAAAGCCACAGCCACAAAAGTCACTAGCTGCCGAATAATCTAGATGTCTAGTTACAGTTTACTCCTAATGATATTTTTAAAATCACTCCTGAATCTGAGGCTGAATCTGACATGAGTGAGGTGGAATAAGACCTCCCCATGAAAGGAAGATACTTCTACAATTCTGTGATTCACAATTTCTGCTTCGTTGCAGGAACTGTTCTGCTGACACCAAAGGGAGTTCTTAAGCAAGCTCAGCCTCTGTTGAGGTGGACAGTCCAGCATTCTGTTGGAAGCAACAGTAATCTCTGGGGAGCCACAACCGGCAGAGCTAATGACCAGTTCACTTGAAGCTGCTACGTAATGATGTTCCCCTTGGGGACATTTTAAACCGCTGCTGGATACGGTGGGTCTTACGGGAGGGTTTATCGTGGACCAGGACTCCCAAGTGACAAAAGGGAAAAAATAGCAGAATAGTGAAACCACATTAATACTAGAGGGGGGCGAGGGGGGTGGGGGAGGAATGAGGATCCGACCCAGTAAGTATCCTGGATTGTGGCATCCATGGTCACTCTACACTTTGTGATGCTAACCATGTGATTTGAACTAATCTGAGTCAAGGCTAGAAGGCGTTATGTTTCTATAAACTAGTCCAGAGGTGGGCAAACTATGGCCCGCAGGCCACATCCAGCCCACGGGACCATCCTGCCCAGCCCCTGAGCTCCTGGCCCGGGAGGCTGCCCCCCCTCCTCTGCAACCATGCCGCCATGTGGCACAATGCTCTGGGCAGCGGGGCTGCAGAGCCCAGCCTGACCCGGCCCTCTGTGCTGCGTGGTGCAGCGTGGCTGCCTGTCCTGGTGCAGCCACGCTGCCAGCCACTGGTGCTCCAGGCAGCACGGTAAGAGGGCAGGGAGCAAGGGGGGGTTGGAATAGAGGGCAGGGGAGTTTGGGGGTGGTCAGGGGCGTGGATAGGGGGCGGGGCAGTCAGAGGGTGGGGAATGGGGGTTGAATGGAGGCAGGGGTCCCAGGGCAGCAGTCAGGAAGGAGAGGAGGGGTTGGATGGGGCGGCCGGGGTCGGTCAGGAAGCAGGGGAGGTGGATGGGGCAGGGGTCCCGGGGGGGGAGCAGTCAGGAAGGAGAGGGGGTTGAATGGGATGGTGGGGGACTGTTAGGGGCAGGGGGCAGTTAGGGGCAAGGTGTCCAGGGGTGGTCAGGGAGAAGGGGTGGTTGGATGGGACAGGGGTCCCGGGGGGCAGTCAGGAAGGAGGGGGGTTGGATGGGGTCATGGGGGGCAGTTAGGGGGGGAGGGTCCAGCGGCGGTCAGGGGACCGAGAGCGGGGGGATGGCAGGGTGGATAGGGCAGGAGGTCTGGGGGGCTGTCAGAGGGTGAGAAGCGGTGGGATCGGATAGGGGGCGGGAGCCGGGCCATGCCTGGCTGTTTGGGGAGGCACAGCCTCCCCTAACTGGCCCTCCATACAATTTCAGAAACCCAATGCGGCCCTCAGGCCAAAAAAGTTTGCCCGCCCCTGAACTAGCCTGTCTGAACACAGCTTTCTCCTTTATTGTGTGAACTAGGCTGAGGTTAGTAACTGGTGCTGCCATTTGTAAACACTGATAATTAAATACCGGACATTAGAAATGGAAAAGACTTATTACTCCTAATTATCTAGTCCATCCCATCAGGCCAACCAAGATGGCTCCCTAAAATACATTACAGTGCTTTGTCCCAGCCAGGGTTATGTTTCCCAAGTGATGGGGCTTTCTCTTTTTTTCCTTGGGGAAACAAATCCACTTTTTTCCAACGGGAACTTTAGTTACTTATAATAGGAACCTAAATTTTAATTGACTCAATTTAATTCCAGTAATCCTAGCAATAAACCACCTGGGCCAATCTCTGTCTTCTTGGAGTTTACATCCTTCAAATATTTGTATAAAGTTATCATGCCACCGGAGTAAATGTGTAGCCACGTTGAGCAGGCCAACATTTTCAAAATAGCACAGGTGCTATTGCAGAAATTCCCCAGGCAAATTAAACATGCATGTGCAAAATGGCGTATGCAAATAACCAGCTACCTGATTGACTCCTACAGTTCTGTTGACTGTGTGCACAAAGTCAATGCACAATTGTGGATGGTTTTAAAAAACTTCAGGCTGCATTCTTTTCAAAAGAAAGCATTGTTCTTTGGGTGGGAGCCCAGGAGCCTGAGTTCTCTTCTATGCTTAGACACTGACTCACTGTGTGACCTTGGGGCAAGTCACTTAACCACTCTGTGCTCATTTTACCTCTCAGTAAAGTGAATATAAGACTTACCCTACCTAGCTCACAATGGTCCACTGAAGCTTAAATAATTCTGAAAACTGCTTTGATACCATCAAGAAAAGGAGGACTTGTGGCACCATAGAGACTAACAAATTTATTTGAGCATAAGCTTTCGTGAGCTACAGCTCTCTTCATCGGATGCATTTGAAGTGAGCTGTAGCTCACAAAAACTTATGCTCAAATAAATCTGTTAGTCTCTAAGGTGCCACAAGTACTCCTTTTCTTTTTGCGAATACAGACTAACACGGCTGCTACTCTGAAACCTTTGATACCATTGATTGCATTGATATCTGATCTCTTCAGATGAAAGTAACTAGGGAGATGTAAAGTTCCACTAACCTTCCCTCATAAACCAATCTTCCTTCCTCTAGCCCACTCTAGTCACTTTTGCTGCTCTTCTCCAAACAAGCTAACACCACGAGTAAATTTATATTTGTAACACTTGATTTCTTATCACAAAACTGCTTCTCCTCCCACACAACACTTACACTAATTGCTCTAAACAGAGCCTGCCTCTGAATTATAAAACACATGGTGGCCTCTTCAGTAACCTCCTTCACATGGCTTTCTACAAAACACTCTTTGTTCATGGACATGAGTCATGCAGTGCAAGGAGTGAAAACTGTTCATGATGTATTTGTGAAATCCCCAAACAATCCAGAAAGCTCCCATTACCAACAAAAAGTATCACAGGATGCACACAGGCCAGATAAGTAGGTGGAGACCTTCCAGAAATGACTCTCATGATTAGGTGCACTTTATTAGAGACCTTTTCATGGCCTATGGTTTCTTAAAGTCCAAGCCTGTCAGGTGCTGAGTGTCCTCAACTCCCATTAAAACTAGTGGGAGATGTGGGCTTTTCAGCATCTTATAGGATCTGGTCCTTAAAGAATCAAACTCACACTCTTTCCTCTATCTCTATTATGTTCCCCATCACAGGAATACCAGAAAACCAGGGGCTTTTCATGGTTTGTTCTCGTGCGCTTCTGCTATGCCCCCAAGCTTTTAGATAAATTAAATAGCTATCAAAGATGAACCCAAGCTTCAAAATCCAGATTGCCATTGCACATCCTCCCCTTCAAAGCTCCCTCCCCCCCCAAAAAAAAATAAAACAACTGTTCAGGGATTTTCAGTTCTGCAGATTGGGGTTAATCCATAACAGAAATAGAGATTAACCACAAAGTTGGGATCTGATCTAGATTCTGATTCCAAACATCCCAATGTCTGTGAACATTTGGATCCAGAGTTTTCCTTCCGGCATCTTTCTACTAAATACAAAAAATGTCTCTGGGGTAGATTAGGTAGGTATGTTAAACACACACACATACATACAGCCTCCATATGAGCACAGATGCAGAAAAGAGGATGACCTATCAGTCAGAAGGATCCAGAAACAAGGAGCTAACGTTAGGTTGGATTTTCAAAAATGCCTGATGGGAATTAGGCACCAAAGCACTTTTGAAAATCCTACTATAAAGCCTTTTCTACTCCCAAAGTTAAATGCTTCTGCCAGGGACACAAACCCTATAACCAAATTCTGCCATATGCTGACATTTGGAGCCTGTGTACATCTCTAGCTCCTGAACCTGCAACTCTGCATGCCTGGACAATCCTTGCTCACTGAGAAATCCTCGAATTTCAATGGAACTACATATATTGGTAAGGATAGCTTGCATGAATGAGAGCTGCGAGACCAGGAGTCAATCAGTGAGAAAGGCAGAGCATCTGCACTTCGCCAAACGATGTGCACAGTACATGGGATGTGCTAATTTCCCTTTACTGCATTCTGGCGTATAAGGACAATGATGTAAATTGACAAATGTAATGGGTAGTGGGCAACTTACAGCATTCGATGGGATTAGATGCCGCTTGCAAAGAGACTATTCTGCCACTGGATTCAGGGATGTGCACACGGAAGACAAGCCGCACCCTGGTGTTCTTCCTACCAATGTCCGTCTCCCCCTTCCGCAGTTCGATGTCCGCGTTCCTCAGCTTCAAAATCCCTGCACAGTCAATGCTGACAAACAAACAGAAGACATGTTGTGTATGCGTATGTCAGTGTTTCTGCTCTCAAACATTTCAAAGACATCTGAAAGACAAAAGAGGGCTAAACCATTTTGCCTCAATGATTTTGAAGAAGCAAAGATAAGAGAAGCCCTGAATTCTCTTTCCATTTTTAATTTAGGTATTACAGTTAAAATGTCCAAGGGTTTTCAGCAACATGACTAGGCAGTTGTGCATCTAATTTGTGACTGCTACGTGTGTGCATATAGCTAGTTGCACATCTAAACTGTGCAGTAAGTGATTAACATGGTACCAGTGCATGATGGGATTAACATGGTTCTCACCAGATGATGTACAGCTGACCCTGTGACCCCTAATCTACCCCACATATGTCACTCACCACGCAGTACAATATTTACACATTTCCTCCAGTTCATACACTATTAGTTGCTGCAGGGTTTCTTCCATCCCTGAAACACCATCACAAATTCTCCAAGCCCAAGTCATTCACACTAAGAACATTTGTACCACTCTGGCATCGTAAAAGGGGCCTTAGGTTGTATAAATTATATTCACACCTAAAAATCTAGAATCTATCTCCAACACAGGAAGTTGATTTATTTAAGTGATTCCTCTCTAAACAACACACGCAAATTAATTCTGCCTTATCTCACATAGTAATAAGAGATTTGCTGCAATAGCATCCTTACGTTGCTCTCATGTTGTTTTTGGGCTCGAGGGGGATCTCTAGAACTTTGGTGTTGCCTATGATTTTCTCATAGCTGGTGGTGGTAACAGTTTTGCCCGTAATGCGATGGACTTGATAGAAAGCATGAGGTTTAAGTATCCGTTCATCTGCTGTCCCAATGAAGATCTGAAGACCCAGGGGTTTGTTCTCCATGTAACCGTGAAGCTGTCAAGAAATCAAATCTATTAGCACATATTGTACTCCCAGTGCCCTCAATCATGTAGAAATTGAGACATATGCACAACACTAAAACCGGTTCATCTCAACTCATGTAAATGGGATTCTTTTCCCACAGCAGTACCTTCTGGAGACCTTGGTATACATGGAATACATCTAAGAAAAGATGAATGATTAATTATACTTTGATGTTCAGTGGAGATTAGAAACCATATTGCCTCAATGTTGTTTTTGATTGCAGTCTTTAAAAAAATCTGGGAAGTAACAGCGGAAGCTCTTGGCTGCTTGACTCAATCAGCCATTTTTGAAGCAGACAGACAGGAGGAGGGGTGCTGCTATTTTGCTCAGACTGGGTTTTGGAGCAAAGACCATCTTTTTGTTCTGTGTTTGTACAACACTAGCACAATGGGATCCTGGGCCATGGCTTGGGCTCCTAGGTGCTACATCCAGACAGATAATGAAATAATAACAACAATAATAAATGAACACAGGTTTTTGAAGTACATTTGCTAAGAGATGAGCAAAACAGGGCTAGAATTTCTCTCTAGGCCAGAGACCAGGGAATATATATCTTTGTTTATTAACTTTAAAAATTATTAATCAAACCATTTGAAATTTCTCACATCGCTGAAAATTAAAAACAGACATATCTACCACATAACCAGGGATCTAGCTGAAAGGGAACTTTATGGCCTGAGGCATGCTAGATTTGTTTTCAATTACTCTGTCCGCATACAAAACCTTGATGAAGCCATACAAAGCAAACAGCACTGGAAGATCAGAGAACAAAACCATTAAGCTAATAGCATTCATGGCCAAAATCTTTTTTCTTCTTTTCACCAGGCAGCAGGAGGTATCTTTGCATAGAGTGATTAATTCACCCCCCTGGAAAGAGACCACATGCGGCATCAATGCATTGCTGGCAACCTTCCCCTGGTATGGTAAATGTAAAGTAACACTCACAGTCCTCTGCTACATTATGATTCACATAGCACATATTTGCCATCCACATGAAGACAGGATCCTTGTCCCAGAGATCTTACAACCTAAGGTCCCAATCTTGCAACCTTTACTCACACGAATGGTCCCACTGAAGTCAATGAAACTTAAGTCTCAGATAGTAAGGATCACTTGTGTGAGTAAAAGAGTTACTGGATCAGGCCAGACACAGTTTGATGCAATACATTGACAACAGTTCAGATGTAAGAAGGCCTGGTGACACTGCTAATGGAGAGATCAGCCTAGGGTGGTTTGTGGAAGAGGCGGATTTGTAGGAGTGATGTGAAGGAGCAGAGAGATAATATTCCAAGCTCGGGAGTGGAATGAAGGATTGTGCCTCATCAAGAATGTGCGAAAGATGAAGGCTGCAATTAGGAGATTTAGCAATGTATGGACAGAAAAGGGGTATGAAGATTAAATGAGAACACAGATGGAATTGGCAATTCCATAGCGCAACCTGGACCAGACTTGCATTTATGGATCACTCCCCAGCTATCTGAGCAAGGAGGTTTAGGGTTGTACTGGAATTGCACTTAAATGTACTGAATTCAAAACCCAAGGTTTCTTAGGCTATGTACACATTACATCTTACGCTGGTATAAATTGTGTCACTGAAGAGGGTGAATAAGCCACCCCCTGAATCACGTAAATTACACTGACTTAAGGGCCACTGTGGGCAGTGCTATGAGGGTGAGAGAACTTCTCCCACCGACATGGCTCCTGCCGCTCGTGGGGCTGGAGCAAGTAAGGAGACAGGAGAGCTCTCTCCTGTCGACTTAGAGCATCTGCACTGGCTACGCTACAGCAGCACAACTGTAAGTTCGGTAGCGTAGCCCTAGCCTGAGACTTCTTGGCCAAAGAACCATATAGTAAAGGGAGGAGGATATGAGGAAGGGGAGATTCTTCTTCGAACGATGGTCCTGATTGTATTCCACTGAGGGGTTATACGCATGCAAAGATGGGGAAGTGGAGATTACATTTTAAGTACTCTCAGCATAGGATGGGAGTCATGAAGTCCAGAGATCTAATTTCAACTCTGCCACTGACTTGCTGCCTGGCCCTGGGTATATCACATAACCTCTCTGTGCTTCATTTTCTCTTCTGTAAAATGGGCAAAATAATACTAAACCTACCACTTTGGTTTTTTGAGGATTAACAAATTAGCACTCTGTGCAGCACTTTGTAGAGAGAAACTAGTGAACAAGAATAAACCAGTAAATTGAGGCTTTATTTTAAAGGTATCTTTCCTCAAAGATTGAACTATAAGGAAATTTTAGTCTTAATCAGTATTCACCTAAGCTACCCAACCCAGCCAGCTACTAGGTACTTCAATACAATTAAGGAACAAGAGTCTGGTTTTCTTCCAGGATAGTACTAACCCCTATACTATATAGATACAGTAAACAGGAGGGGATCATTGGGAGATCAGCCCTTCAAAACTAGCTCTTATCTAACTCAGGAAGACAGAGTTTTCATCATGATTACCTACATGCTACGCTGCCACAGTCTCAGAGGAGGGCCTGGTGCTGCATTCTACTCAGGTGAAAGGGGAGTTTCGTTTGAGTAACGAATATAGGATCATCTCCCAAGGCCAAGGCGTTACCTCAGCTTCATTTTTACTATTCTTTCAACAAAGCAGAAAATACAAATCTGGATTTCAGGATAGAGACTGAAAGCTGAGAATGATTTATGACTAGAAAACCCTGACAGGGGATATTTTGGGGGGTATTATAAGGTGAGCTATTCACAGTAAAACTCCCCAAACTATATACAGATTGGGCTGGAGAAAAACCAACTCCTTTGAGTCACATTTGCCACAAGGGAAGAGAGAAGCCAGACATTATGTGTACCTTTCCATACGCTATTTTGGGATTTTAAGATCCTATTTCTTTTAGTTTAAAAGTTTTTTTTTTAAATAAAAACAACTTTGCTGTTGCATAACTCTTATAATATTAACATAGTCAGACATGGGCTGGTCTGTGACCTGAGGAAATGCAAGGCACTTTGGCAGATAAACAAATAACATCATTCAGAAAATAAGGAGACTTTTCTTGTTTGGTTTGCTACAGCAATTGGGCTTTATAAACAAAATGGAAATGTGTGGCATGATTTGACTCACCGCTTCCTAAACAAGGTTCATTCATGTATTCTACATTGCATTTCTGTATCAATATCAGTTAAAAATGATGTCTAAGTTTGAGTGCATTATGATTTTTAGAAGTGCACACCTATCATTTTAAATGCAAAAACTCTCTATGCATTTGCACGTACATTACCACTGTTGTATGTATGTGTAGTAGAAGTCCAATGAGCCATTTGGCAACACAATTACCACACAAAATTGCAGTAACTGTGACCACAAATTAGGCAAGCAAATGAACATGAAATTTTACTTGTGCAGCTCTAAACAAATGGGCCAGTACATCCTACAAATGGATGTAAACACAGATCCAAAAGTCCTCAGACCTTTCAAAGGGAATTTGAAATTCAAATCTAGACCCAGATCTGCATTGGCCCTTGTCCCAATATTTGGCTGAACCAAAATCCCAGTCTGAATACCCTTCAACTTTGGAGGTTTTGAAAATCCAAACTCATCTCTAAAGTGTTATACAGTGCACTCAGAATAAAGCTCATCACTCGAGACTGAAGGGGTGAATCCTTTAACATTGCTCAGTTACTGCAACTGAAAACTGCAAAATAAACTTATCGTGTACATCAGTGATAGAGGTGTAAATTCCCTAGAGTCTTCCAAGTGTGCTCACATATCCATATTACACGCACATGTATTTCTGTCTATAGGGAATTTAGTTGGACCCTCTTTAAAATATATTTACTGACTTAAGTTTACATTGACCACCATACAGCTTATAAACAGCAGAGATTTACCCCTTCAAAGACACCACTCATATTATATTTGTTGTGAGATGTGAATTGTAGCCCCTTTGTACAAATGGGAAACCTGATGATTTAAGTGATTTGCTTACAGTCACACAGTGAATTAGTAACGGAGGTGGGGTAAGAATATCAAGAGCTCCTAGCTCCCATGGCTATGCACAGTGCAGTAGAGCACACTAAAAGAATTCGAAACGAATCTGGTATTCCAAGAATGAAGTTGTAACAATTTCTGACACCATTCCACTCTCCTTGGCTTGCACTATTTATATGGCAGTATTTGTTGATGTTTTTGTCTTTTTTAATTTGTAGTCTTTTAGGGCCAAATTTGTCGTGGGCTTCTGTTTTGGGCACCTGCACATTAGAAAATTACACACCTGGCTGCCTGTTGAGTGAAGGCAAATTGTGATGAGTTTTGCACTAAGAAAAATGGAGACACCTGCAAATCTTGTAGGCACCTTTTGGGAGGCCCACAGAAAATCTGGCCCTGTGTAGTAGAAGTGCAAGTTGCATGACAGAGTGAATGTCATGGGCAATTTTTGTTTCCCCTTCATCCCAGCAGAGCTTCTCCTAGTCTGGATTTGCAGGTCTTTCTCCCCTCTGGGGGGATAAAGCTGCATCTTTAAAGTTGATTACATACATCTTCCTGCCTAGACAATGCAAGCAACTGCCAGAAAGAAAGTATAAAATAAGCAAATGAATTCACAGGCCCTACTCATTTTGTTTGCTTGAAACGAATCAGCACTCTTGCTTATTTCAGTTCACCACAACCTGAGGGCTGCTCTGTTAATTGTTGCATATTACTTGCCATCTCCCTGTGGAAGTCATTTCAGCTTCCCTCTGAATGAGATGTGTGCGTGTGTGTGCAGTCAACTTTTGAAATAAAGCACTGGTGATTCAGAGAGACGTTCATCAGCCTCTGGTAAAAAATGAGAAAACAGACCTGTGCTGGTTACATTCAATTAGAAGTAAATACAAAGCAGCGTGAGAAATCGCTTCCGCCTACTGCTTCCCTTTTCCTGCTGTACATGAAAAGATAAGAAAACACTTAGAAGCTTTCTCCTAAGTTTACAAGGAGTGGCATAGGATTTCAGCTT